GGTGGGACGGATGACGCCTGGGTTCTCTCCTGGCACCGGGAGGGGAGTGGGGCCTAGTGGTCAGAGCAGGGGGGTAGGGAGGCAGGACGCCTGGGTTCTCTCCTGGCACTGGGAGGGGAGTGGGCCTAGTGGTCAGAGCAGGGGGTGGGAGGCAGGACGCCTGGGTTCTCTCCTGGCTCCGGGAGGGGAGTGGGCCTAGTGGTCAGAGCAGGCAGGCAGGCCAGGCTGCGAGAGCCGGGTGCTGCCTGGGTCCTTACCCACTCGGACTCTCCAGTGGGACGTGTCCTGCCACTTGTTGAAGCAGTGCGCGGCCGTCAGGACCCAGCTGTCGGAAATCAGGGACCCCCGGCAGGAATCCACCTTCATCGCCTGCGGAAAGGCAGAGGGGCCAGTGTAGGGGAGAACCCCCCCCTGCAAGGGGGGGCCCGGCCGTGCTCCCGGGCCCCAGGGGAGGAGGGGGCGGGCCCAGCTCCACGGACAGACCCACCTTGATGACCACGTGCCAGGGGGCGCGCTGCTGGGCCGTGGCGCTCAGCGAGTTGTTTCCCAGCCCGCATGTGTCGCCGATGTTCCTGAGGTCTGGGGAGGGGGGAGGGTTAATCTTCAGGCCACCCCCATGGGCACCCACCCTTGTGCGGTCTGTCCTGGGGCACCCATGGCCCCTGCGCACCAGCAGAGCGTTCCCCAGCTCGGTTCCCCTCCGGGAGAGACCCAAGAGCCCAGCCCTCCCCGTGGAGGGGCCCCTGCTGACCCAGGATGTCGTCAAAGGCAGCCTTGAGGTCCTGGCTGGAGTCCAGCTTGAAGGCATGACGCTCCCCTTCCTTCTTGGACGCGATGGCGTTCAGACCGTCCCAGTCCACGTTCAGCGTCCCGACCCCGAAGGCGTAGATATCTAGGGGGCAGGGCGAGACGGGGGTCAGGGCGCTGCGCCGTGCTGTCCCTGGTGGTGGAGACTCTAGACCACGTAGCATGGCCAGAACCAGGTATTAGGGCAGTTTGGAATCCAGCAGGGCTTAGAAATGGCATTGAGGCACCTGGAACCCACCACAGGGAGCCCATGATGAGGCACCTAGAACTCACAATGGGCCGCCTGGAGTCCACAATGAGGCACCTCGACCCGCAACAAGATGCCTGGAGCCCACAATGAGGCTCCTAGAACCCACAATAATGCGTCTGGAGCCCACAATGAGGCACCTCGGAACCATCGGAAGAAAATAATTTCTTATCTACAGCCACACTTTTCTGGGGGAAGCAAGTTCCCTTCCTAGCCAGTCGGGGCTCAGGAGAAGGAGTGTGTTGGCGTGCCTAGACCCATGCGGTGCTACTGAGTGGAGGTGTCCTAGGTTAGGAGGGGCACTGGAGCACCAAGAACGAGCAGCAGCCCACACGGAGGGCAAACAGCTGGGATGTAGACACACCTAGAACCACACTGGTAAAGAACAAGGTGCTGGCATGGTCACAGAGGGGCATTAAATTATCCAGGCCCAAACAGTGTGCTCGAGTGCCATAGTGTGCTGGGCTGGCAGCCTTGGGCCTGGAGTCCCTGGGAACCCTGTTGGGGCACCTAGAACCGAGAGTACAAGAGCCTGGAACCGATAAACCTGGCGCGGGGAGTACGGGAACACATCTAGAACTGGTCGTAAGGCACCTGCAAGAGACATATCATGTGCCTGGAGGCCCCAAGCGTGTTGACTCACCCAGGTAATCGTTCCTGTCTGGCTTGATCTCCAGAACGTCTTCTATTTTGGCCACCAGATGCTTGGGGGGGGGTCCCATGTTGTTCTGGCCTTAAACAACAACCCGCCGGTGGGTGAGAGTGAGGCAGGGGAAGCAGGGCCACACGGGGC